ACATCAATATGTTTGGTTCTCTCATGATACACTCGATTTTTAGCCAAATTCAAAGCACTCTGACTATCACAGAATAACATCGGTTTCTCCACCTTCAGACCCAAACTCTGCACCAGACCATGTAATCAGATACCCTTCTTAATACATTCAATCATTGACATGTATTACGCCTCATTCGTCGACAGTGCAACCGTAGGTTGTAAAGTAAACTTCCAACTTACTGCAGTGAAGATAAAGCAAGTCAGTGATCTTTGTTTCACCAAGTCACCCCCGTAATCAGAGTCTGCATAGCCAACCAGACCATCGTCATGGCCTTTATCATCATATACCAAACAAATATCAGACGCTCATTTCAAATATCACAAGATCCACTTTCCATCTCCCCAACGAGCTTTACCCGGATTAGCCATAAACCTGCTCACCACACTAACCGCATAAGCGAGATCCGATCTCGTACATACCATCACATACATAAGACTTCCAACTACACTTGAATATGGAACCGTCTTCATGTAGCTAACCTCTTCATATGTAGCCGGTATAGTGCTTCGATCAAGTTTTTAAAGTGTGCTGCCAAAGGGGTACTTACCGGTTTGGACTGATCAACAGAGAATGCATATAAAACTTTCTCAATATACTTTTCTTGAGAAACCCATAGCCGTTATGCTTTTCTATCACGTCAGATCTCTATACCCAGTACTTTCTTTGCCGCACCCAAAACTTTCATCTCAAACTCACCATTTAGTAGAGCATTCAAGTCATTAATTACAACCATGTTTTTAGCTGCAATTAACATATCATCCATATACAACAACAGATGCACAAAGGAATCAGTAGAAACTTTCTTCGAGTAAACACAGTTATCAAACTGATTATGAGTATAACCATTAGACACCATGAAAGAGTCAAATCTCTTGTACCATTGCCTCGGATACTGTTTTAAGCCATACAGAGATTTCTTTAACAAGCATATCTGGTCCCATTTAGAACTGTCGAATCCCTCATGTTGAGACATGTAAATCCATTCTTTTAGATTACAATGAAGGAATGTTGTTTTTACATCAAGCTGCTCCAGCTGCAGATCAAAAGCACCCACCATTTCCAAAAGAACTCGGATGGTTTTGTGTTTCACCAGTCTCGCTTTGAACCTAGCAGGTTCAACACCAGGAATTCCCTTATTTCTTTTAAAGACCCACTTGCATCCCACTGGCTTCACCCCTTTTAGTAGTACAACGAGATCCCAAGTTATGTTCTTTTCAAGAGACGACATCTATTCATTCATTGTTATAATCCAGTTTTCTGCATCTTTACTCGCTACAACTTCTTTATATATTTTTGGCTCATCAGAGCCAAGATCATCTTCAATCGCCATGCATAAGCCACAGAATCCATGTCACATATATTGACACATCCTGCAAACCTAGTTGGAATCTGAATATTTCTCTTTCCCTTTCTTGCTGCTATGGAATCTTCAACCCCAGTACCAGCGTCATCAACTTCCTCCTCAACCGGTTTCCCTTGAGGTTTTGACTGATCTAGTTGATTGGATTGATCAATAGTATTATCCTGTTGCTCTTCCTCTAACACAATTATGTCTGGAACTCAAACTCCTCCCTCTGGTCAGCACCACAATCTTTTGTACCTGCAATACTTTCATAACCTCTACTCTAATCAAGCATAGCAGATTCATGAAAGGTTACATCTCTGCTAATAAGAAATTTACCAGGATTTTTACCTTTTGTACACCACAGTCGATAACCTTTAACTCTTGTTACATACCCTGGAAATATGCATTTTACCGCCATTGGCTCCAGCTTACCATCATTCACATGAGCGTATGCAGGGCATCCAAATATTCTTAAATTAGAGTAATCAGAAAGTTTACCTGACCATACCTCTTGAGGTGCAGTTGATGGAGATCTATTAACCAGATACCTAGCAGCGTTAACTGCTTCAGCCCAGACTTGCTTAGATAAGCCAGCAAATATGCGCATACACCTAGCACGCGCCATGAGGGTTTGGTTCATTCGCTCTGCAACTCCATTTTGTTGTGGTGTATGTCGTATAGTGCGGTGCCTCACTATATATTATTTCTTGTAGAACGTCTTTCATTCCTTGAACTTCTCAAACACCTCATCTTTAGTTTTTAGAAAGTACAACCAGACTTTTTTCAAATAATCATCTATGAAAGTGACAAAGTAAGAACAACCGCCCTACGATTTCACTGGAGAGGGACCCCATAAATATGAATGAACATACTCCAGAGTTTTTCTTAAAGTGTGATGACCGGTACTAAACCTCACCCTGCGTTGCTTCCCTTTTACCAAGCCTCACATAATTGATTTTTACCTGTCACATCCCCATTAAATAAACTCTGTTTGCTCAACACAGACAACCCCTGCTCACTCATGTGACCCAATCGACGATGCCACAAATTAGTCCTGTCATCATGTTTATCCAAGGACTGGGATACCGCCGCTGATCCCATCACTGAACTACCCTATAGAAAATAAATTTCATGTTGCAGTTTTCCCTTTATCATCACCAGAGCACCTTTAAGGACTTTCACCTACTCACCTTCACCATGATATTTTAAACCATTTTTGGCTAAGGTGCCAAGAGAAATCAAATTCTTTCTGAGTTCAGGAACATACCAACAGTCAAATTTTCTGACAGTACCGTCATGCAATTTTATCTGCACTATCCCGCTCCCCTTTATGGCTAGAACTCCATCATCACCTAACTTCACTGTTCCATTCCACTCCTTAAAAGAAGTGAGTAGATCACGAGAGAACGTCATACGGTGAGAAGCACCGGTATCCATAATCCAGGAATCAGAAGTACTAGTACTACACTCTGTCAGAACTTCACCAAAGTCTCTATCATCAGAACTGTTTTGTACCACAGCAGCGCTGCTGCCATTGTTACTAGAATCAACTTTTGAATTTCTCTTCTTCTGCGGACAATCCTTTTTAATGTGTTCATTTGCCTTGCAATGATGACACTTAACTTTGCTAGAGGATTTTGATTTTGAACGTGACCTCCATTCTCGTTACCCCTCTCTGTGGTCTTCCCCTACCTGCAAACAGACCTGAACCAGAACCCATTTTCCAGAGAAACTTTTCTTTTCAATTCTTTGGACATAAGGGCATCTTTCATATCATTAACAGAAATTGTAGTTGTACCATATAACATAGTATCTACAAAATTCTTATATGAACTAGGTAGTGAACACAGTAAAATTAGGGTTTGATCTTGATCATCTATTTTAATCTCAACCCTTTGAAGATCAAGAATAATACGGTTAAATGTATCAAGATGATCCTTTACCTGAGTACTTTTGGACATCCGAAAGGGTGTAAAGACGTTGTTTCTGATATAGCCTATTCGTGAGAGAGTTATTCTGGTACTTCTCACACAGTTTATTCCATAGCCCAAAAGCCGTCGTCTGATCTACAACCTCCCGTAATACCTCATCAGTAACTGACAACAAGATTGCAGAATGAGCCCTTGCCAAAATCTCCTTATTTATCTATTCCTTCGTGTCTTTAGGAAACTTGTCTTCTCCCTCCAATGCAGCCGCACATCCTTGTTGAACTAGATGTGCCGTAATCTTGACCTTCCAGAGCGTGAAGTCATTCGACCCATTAAACTTCTCAAAATCAAACTTATACGAAGACATCTTCAATCAATCAAATATGGCTCTGATACTACTTGTTATGAGAAAACGAGAAAGAAAGCAAATAAAGAACACATAAGTTTTACGTGGTTCGGTGACGGTGTGTCAACCTACGTCTATGGGCAGGAACCAGAGAGATTTTATTATATTGATTCATAGAGTTACAATCATGCCATACGACTAGGAACCATAGCTATCTATTTATAAGCACCCCAAAACATCCTAAACCCTAAGTCTATTTGTTATTAATTAGGATAAACCCAAAAGAGACCCCTCCAATTGAAACAGTTATTTCGCTTTGGTTTCATGTTGGGTAGACAGCTAAATCCAAGTTACGTTTCAACAACGTCTTATAATACTTAAGAATGAAATTTGTAAAAAAAATATATAAATATAAAAATTGTTTTAATGTTAAATAAAATGACGCAAAAAATAAATACAGACGAAGAGAATATTAATTAAAATTACAGTTTTATCTATTCAATTAATCATCATTGTTGGATTAAGTCGTAATCACGAATTAGCCATAGCACCTTAACCATTTCAATTATATTCCCTCGTCAAACTCTAAGATTTAGTTTTATTTTTCACGTTATTAAAAATATTTTTATATTTTTATTATAAAATATAAGTATATATATATTAGTGATAGTTGAAAGAAATATTGGGTCTGTTTATTTGTAGGATTTTCAAATTTTATTATTCTAACTTTTTTCTCTCAAAAAAAAATATCAAATCAAACGCATATTATTTATTTATTATATTATACAGAAATTTCATTTTATATTAAAAAAACACATCAATACATATTTATATGACATTAAATAATTATTTCAATTCAAAATTTTACTATTCAAAATCAAAACCCAAAATCAAAATCTTACACACACCCATTATATATTACAATGAGTCAATATGGCATATACTTTTTCTATCCTACCCAATTGTCTATTATTTATTTTTATTTGTTCCATATAATTTGTTAAAATATAATTATAAACTTTAATCACATTTGAAAATTTATAATTTATAATTTTTTTAATTAAATTACAATAAGTCAATATGAGTGTGTTTGTTTGGAAATTTTCTCCAAATTTTATTATTTATTTAATTTTTTTTTCCAAAATACCAAATCAAATTTTTATTTTTATTCAAAATTTTAATTATTTAAATCCCAATTCAAAATCCAAACATCCAAACAAACACACCCTTAGTTTTAAACCTCACTTAAAACTAAATTTAAAAACAAAAGTCGGGCTCCAAAACCGAAGTATTTTCCCGCTTTGTTTTCCCGCGGAACCACAGTAGAAATTTAAGGAACTCTCCATCAGTCTATCACATGACAGGTATGCAGCCCCCGCCTGCCTCAGCACAAACTCACAGAATGAACACCGGCGGCGGCGCAGCCCCCACTGGGTGTTACAAGTGTGGCCGTCCGGGTCATTGGTCTCGTGACTGCCCTTCCAATCCCACTTCCGTCAACGGGGAACATCCAAATCCGCCTATTTCCTCCAATCCCGAGTTCAATTCCAATACAGCATCAAGGTCGCATCTCCCGACTCAGAAGCCGAAGCCGAAGCCAAAGCCGCCGAGGAGAACAAGGCCAAAGCTGACACCAGACCTTCTCCTTTCTGACGCCGGCATCGGACATATCCTCCGATACTTCCCCAAAGCCTTAAAGTGTCGCGGCCGTGGCCACGAGGTAAATTCCCTGAATTGATCCGATTCATGATTGTGGTAGAGTGATGAAGTTCTTATATTTCGTATACGATATTTTGGGTTTTCTTTTGATGATAGTGGTTAAGATTTCTTTGCTGGTTGCTCGGCTAGGATCGGATCGGATCAAACCCTAGATTGTAATGTGTTGGTGATTGGTTGTTTTGTAACTCTGCATTTCCATAGCGCAAAGAGATGATATTTGCCTGTTTTTAACAGTTTAAAGTTGTCCAATCACATATTTAGCTGAGGCTATCTTTCTCTCAGTAGATTGTTGTCTGTCAATTAAATTTGTGGCTACAAAAATTCGACTCGCTCGCCAGCTAATCCCACTGCTGGTGAGTAATCCAATCCGGTAGGAAATTCTCAGTTGTCTCATTATTTCCTGCTTTGTCCATCTGAAGAACTCTTCCTGCTTCTTGTACACGGTTTGGTTCGGAGGCACCTCCTGTTGCTTCTTGTTCTCAGGATGTTTGTTCACCAGCTGTAAAGCAATCCTTTGCTTGCTCCCATATCTGGGTCTTTTCCTTAGCTGATATTTGATCCCTGAAACTCTCTTCCTTTACATTCCAAACAAGAACAAGATCTCAATTACCATTCAACACTGAACATTCGTTTCTGGTGCTATGGTGTAAGCCCAAGCTCAAATTATTCCTTAAAAATAAAACTTGGTAAAGAACAATATTTTACTTCCTTTTGCGTGTGAGAAGAAGTTGGGCATTTCAAGTGTGAAGGGTTTTGGGGGTGCTGTCTGTCGCTTGTGTTAATCTCTGTAAAATATAATCATCCAATTTTGCTCTCAAGTGGAGAACCCCTGTTTCTAAAATGTTTTCGGATTCTGGATTGCTGTGTAAATTATTGTTTTCATTTTTTCATTTAATTTCTTTCATTCGATCTAGGTTCTCCCTTGGTATTTGTTTAGGTTGGTTATTTTGGGGGTATGTTGGTGCTACTGATCTTGTTAAAATCAGATTCACTTTCTGATTTATTTTGCATTGATCAAGTTTAGTTTGTAAATTTGTGAAGTTTCCAGACTTTTTTCCCCAGCACTGTCATCAGTCTTTATTGATTCTGTCCCAAACTCCCCATCATTTTGGTTACCATATGTTTACATAAATATCGAAATCATGAAGTTAGCGAAGGGTGTGACTTGTGCACAGATTTTTCTGTCATTTGCTAATATTAACTTCGAGCCTTCTTTTACAGTTGAAAATTTACTGATGCTATTCATTTTTCGTTGAATTAAAATTATTTGGGCCTCCTTGTTTGTTTAATGCAATTTCCTTGAGCTGCTTATATCTCGGCTTCGTGTGATCTACATAATGAGATGAGTGGACTGGAAATATGGGCGTCTTGCGGGGATACTATTTCAATTTGATTTCACAGCATCGGCTGCCAAAGTTCCATCAATTCTTAATGGATACTATCATCAGTTACAGAGTACGATAGGCAAAGTTGATGACATTTCTAGGTCATACTCATAATAAATACATTTAACATTAGAAGATAACCATTTAAGTGTTGATTTTAGTACTTGTTTAGAATGTTTGTGGATGCTGTGTTGAATGAATACCTGACAAATGAAAGCGTACATAGTTTGTTCAATTGCGTTTTGAACATATTACATGGAAGAAAAGCAAAAATGTATTGGTTGTTAGTGTTTCTTTATAGTTTTTGTGTCTTTTATTTACATGTTTTTGAGATGAAATAGTTATTATGTGATATATTTTGAGGGAAACAGAGAGATTGAATAGTGAAAAAACAAAAAATGCCCAAGTGAACAAACTAATAGTTGGTGAAAGCCCGTACGTATTTTAGATTGTTTTAACTATGTTAAAACTTTTGTGCTGTCGCAATCTATTTGATTCTCTACTTAATATGCAGGCTCAAATTCTTGATGATATTGACTTGCATTATTCTTGTTTTATTGCAAGTCTATGGAAATAAGTGCTGGCGACTGACATGACTGTTGTATTTTTTTCATGACACTAGCATATACTAATTTCAGACTTTAGAAAGTTCACATTTGACTCTTCCATCCAACATAGTATTTTGTCCCTGAATCTAATTATTTGATGCAGGTTAATGACTTGCAGCACCTACTGCACCTGTATGCTGAGTGGCACTCACGTTTACTTCCGTATTACAACTTTGACCAATTCATACACAAGGTGGAACAAGTGGCTACAACAAAGCGTTTCAAGGCAAGAATGATTTACCTTTTCATTTGCTCATATAATCATACACCTGAAATATTTGTTGCAATTGTTTGTCATAAGTCAAATTCTTCATTGTCGTATATGAGTCTTTTCTCTAGTATTAATAGAACCTTTTTTTGAGAAGGGAAATAGAAGTATTTGGTATTCAATGTCCTCAGAAAGCGATTTCTTCATGTGTTATGTAATCACATCCAATATACTCTTGCCATGGATGGATGGGTTTGAATGTAACTTACTTAATAGAATTAGTTCAAATCTTATTCCTCCTTTTGTTTCATTTGTGAGAATTTATAGATCACCTTCAATTTCTTTTAAACAAACAAGTAATATTTCCTTAGATTACTTCAATTTTCTGCAATTATAAACTAGTTCAGACCTGTGACATCTGTTTAATAATTCTTCGATATATCAAAGATGCTACAGAACTTTTCTTTTTGAGTAACTTCTCTCAATTGTTTGGGTCATTTTCTGAAGTGTTTTGCGCATGGTAGCGAATTGTAGTGCCTTATTTAGGATCCATACTATTACTAAATGTGTAGGTTGCAGTTAACACTGTGTTAGAGCATGATTAGCTAGTGATCCTCCTTTGTGCAAAAATATGTATTTGTTTCATGGATTAAAGTAATTTTCTATTTGTATATATTTAAATGTTTTTACGGTAAGTGACTAAGGAGTGTTTAATTTGTGTAATCATGGATACCACCCAGTTTTTAGATTTTCTGTGCTTCACTAGTAAGGCTACTTCTAGTGAACATTTTTTGTATTGAAAGCTGTGTCCTAGGTTTCCTGAAAGTTTAATTTCTGCCTGTCATTTTGAAATAATTAAATAGCTTGATAACTATTCTTGACACTCTTATTTATGATCTCTTTATATAGGTATGTCTTAGAAATCTACAAGAGAAAGTTGCCACTGGAGAGGACCCTACCAAGCTGCATGAGCCTCAAGATCAGCAAACCTCATTTGATGAACAAGGTATATGCATCCAATAGCTTAATTAAACAATTGTCTTGAATGACTAAAAGTTAAATTTTTGCTTATTAGCACTCTATCAAGATATATCTTTTTAGCAGTTTTTGACCATAGTGCAGAATTCTTTTAAAAAGTTTGGAATTGAATTTACTGTGTATAGGTGAGATGCATGATATGTCCATGAAAATAGTCTTTTTTTTTGGTTTGATTAATTAAAAACAAATTAAGTTTACTTATGATCTTAATGTTGTGTAATATCATAACAAAATCTTAAATCTATATTATATAAAAATAATTGGCAAAAGCCATCTACAGATTATGCTTGCACAACATAATATAGTCAATAACATGTTTGGCATCTTGGCTGCCTCTGATTATATAATACTGCTATGCTTCTTTTGATTTTTGGAACATGAAATCCACTGCAAGTTGCTGCAAACATCCTAAAGCCAGTGAGGTTAATGTAGATTTTATACTAATCTAATATACACAATGGAACTCCTCAAGTTTCTTGGTTTGAATATCTACTTCAATGAAGTTCCTAATGTGCCATACATTTCTTTAAAGGAGTGCTTGCACATGAGGACATGATGGCTTCTTGAAGTGTCTAAATATGTATGATATTCTTGATTTCATGTAGAACTTCTAGGCAAGGTATTAGTTAAATTGTTTTCATTTGCAGTGGTGCTAATGCACATATATTAATGGGTTGAAACACTTTCACTCTTAAATCTGCTGAAGCGAAGTCTTTACCGTATCTGGAAAGGAATGTATGCCCATGATTGTCTTTCATAGATCATCCCAGTTTTCCTTTCTACCATTAATGTAGAAAGGAGAATAATACTACTCATCTCCATGTGTTTGATTCAATTGAGATTTTGTGCTTCCAAGGTGCTTCTGGGAGCCGGGACATTCCGAGTCATCTGAACGAAGGCATGATTGATTCTCAAGAAGACATGGCTCGAGACATTTGGGAGGCAGCAGTTGCTGTGAGTTCTTTACTCATTAGGCTTGCTATGTATAACTCTTTTGGTGATCTTTTATTGTGTGCAAAATATTCGATGATTTTTCTCTGACTGTGACCTCACATGTCTGGTATGATGGTCGCAGTATGAAGTATTGGTTTTCGAACGAATTTTCTTCCACTGAAAAAATGATTGGAAATTTATGTCCATAATCTGCTCCTAGTAATGGCAATGTTCGATGCAGGACACTAGTACTCGTGAGCCATTGCATCCTGTAGATACTGCTACTGCTACTGATACTGATACATTGAGAGATGCTCCGGAACAACGAATAGACAACAATGCCGGTGCTTCTAGTCAAAGTCAGATGTCAGAAGAACAGAAGGCTCGCATGGAGGCCAACAAGTTGAAAGCATTAGAGAGAGCTGCAGCAAGGTCCCGTGCAGCACGTGCCTGTGTCTCCTCCTCCTCCTCGTAGGATCTTTCCTTTTGTGATATTCAGTTAGTTAACAACTATCACTATCATTGAGCCATGGTTTATGATATTAGCACAGCCTTCAGGCTTTGTGTAGTCTTGAGGAAAAATGAAGTAGTAAGCATTTGGTGTTTATCAAACTAATTACTTTGTTTTGCAATGCAACAAACACAGAATCAGTTTGTTCGTTCGCTCATTGTTGGATTCAGAAACCTTATTTCAAAAGAGGCGATAGAAGCTGGATTGGATCGTCTTCACTTCACAATGCAGATCTTGATAACGGACGCAGTCCCGATACGATGCAGAACGACAACTGCGTCGCCCGGAAGACACAGCTCCCTGCCAGTCGCAAACTGCAACGCGCCTTCGAGAATGACTTCAGTTGATTCAGCATCTGTGGCCTTTGCAGACCCTTCAGCAAGAACTGGGATCAGGCCCCGATACACCAGGCTCTGCCTTGCCGGTGCCTCGTCGCTGACCTCCCAATCAAACGAGTCCGTCGTTAGTATTGGGACCACTACCGACAGTATCGGCACTGCTGGCCGGTACTTGGCCACCAGTTTTGCAGTAGTCCCGCCTCGTGTCATCACCACGATGAGCTTTGCTTTAGCCTTGTTGGCAGTGCGGACTGCAGTCGAGGCGAGCGATTCCAGTGGGCTCATCGGCACAGGGGCCGACTTGATCATCGCTTTGAAGATTCCCTCGTAGTCGAGGGAAGACTCAGCCTCGATGCATATCCGGGACATGATCTTGACGGCGAGTTCTGGGTATGCACCGGCAGCGCTCTCCCCGCTGAGCATGACACAGTCGGTGCCGTCGAGGACTGCATTGGCGACATCTGTTGCCTCGGCTCGCGTTGGCCTTGGCGACTTGATCATGGATTCAAGCATTTGCGTCGCGGTCACCACAGGCTTGCCTGCTTGATTACACTTGTATATCATCATCTTCTGGGCCAGGAAGATCTTCTCCACTGGAATTTCCATGCCCAGATCCCCTCGAGCAACCATGAAAGAATCCGTCTCTCGAAGAATTTCGTCGAAGTTGATGACCCCCTCTTGGTTCTCGATCTTCGACATCAACTGTATCTTCTTGGCATGAGGGCCAAGAACTTTCCGAACATGAACTAGATCGGATCCCTTGCGCACGAAGGAGAGTGCAATCATGTCGATGTTATTAGGAACACCCCATCCGAGGATGTCTTCCTTGTCCTTGTCGGTAAGTGTAGGAAGATCGACGACAACCCCGGGCAAGTTAACGTTCTTCCTCTCCCCCAAAGTAGCATTGTTTTGGCAGCGGCATCTGACAGTCCCTTGAGCAGCGTCGCAGGAAAGAACAGTAAGGGTGATGGTGCCGTCGGCGCAGAGAATCGTATTTCCGGGCTCCAAATGGAGGGGCAACTTCTTGTAGCTCATGGAGATCATTTCTTGGTCTCCTTTAATGGTGTAATCTGTGGTGATGGTGATCTCCTTGCCCTCTTTCAGTTCAATGGGTTTTCCGTCCTTGAGGAAACCCGTGCGAATCTCGGGTCCCTGCAGAACCAGAATGTTAAAATATATTTAGAAGCAATATATTAGATTTATATGAGATGATTTGTATATCACTATGGATCGATTAAAGAGATGTAGTATTGATTGATGACCTTGGTATCCAGCATGACGGCACAGAGGATGCTGGTATTGTGCATGGCGATGCGGAGATTGTCGAGAGTCTCCTGATGGTATTGGTGGGTGCCGTGGGAGAAGTTGAAGCGCGCCACATTCATCCCGGCGCGGAGGAGCTTCTCCAACATCGGGACCGATCTCGAAGCTGGCCCTAAGGTGCATACAATCTTTGTCTTTGCCACTCCACCATTACACTTCGACTTCGACAATGCCGCCGCTGCATTCATTGTTCCTTCCATCTCTATGTTCGCCATCTTCTTTTTAATTAATTGATTCCTACAAACATGGCAGGGTATTAATTTAGTCAATGCGCACTTTCGGATAACGGCTGAGAATTTCCACGTTATAAAAATAAAAAATAAAATTGATTCCTCATCCTTAATTCAATCCTTACTTCATATATTTGTAGATTGGGACTACGAGCATGCTTTCTTGTACTAATTAAACTCTTAACGTATATATTGCTTTGGCTTTCAAATCAAATGCTGCTAATAACGCATAAATTATAGTACTATCATAATACAAAATATAATATATATTTATAAAATAACATACAATAATATATATTATGTCCGTCAGGCTCTAAATCACATTTACCTTTTTTGCGTTATCGTATTTAATATTAAAAATATTTTTATATTTGTATAATTTTTTTTTTTAACAAATATCCATCTATTAATATTATAATACACTAAGGCCGCTCCATTTTTGCAATTGGTACAGTACAAATGTACAAATGCATGCAGTTGATTTACAGTACTTTTACTCAAACCATAAACTTCAATTTTTACTCCAAAAATATATTCCCTATATATTATTCTTTTATATTATTTTATATAACTTTTCGTATTTATAAATTACACCCCAACTTTAATTATTTTTACATTATAATCCATACACATATATTTATATTTTATTTAAAAATTACATATATTAAAATTAACATTTATAAATAATAACTATTACAAATAAAATAATTTTAAATAAATAATAAAATGCTATCTAGACAAATAATTATTTAAAAATAAAAAATTATACATAATTTTTTATAAAATAAAAGTACATGTAACTTTAAAAAGATAAAATTATATCACTTTCCGAAAAATAAAATTATACATTCACTTTTAAAAAATAAAATTATATATTAATTTTAAACGTAAAATATTACATTATTTTTTTTAAAAATAAAATTCTATATCACTTTTCAAAAAATAAAATTATACAATCACTTTTAAAAAATAAAATTATACATAATTTTTTAATATATAAAATTATATATCATATTCTAAAAAATAACATTAAGCAATACATCCCAAAAAATAACAAAAATACAAAAAATACCATAAAATATTATAAAACCTCCACTCCAAAAATATAGTGGAGGTACAGTGTTACTCCATTTTTGGGGAAAATAAAATATGTGTATTGAAATATTTTTGCAATTTATATTTTATTCCAACCCACCGTATAAACTTATACAGTACAATAGTGTATTATACAAAACTACGTGATATTTACTTTACAGTTAAGGTGGTCAAATCATCAGTGTTGATTTAATGTAATCAGTACCATAACCACCATCGCATATATTTAAACAGTGCCGTTATTGTTTTGATGACAATTGAGTCAGCACCATGCTGATTGAATAGGGACCGTTGGATTTTTTATTTTTATTTTTTTAATAATGTGATGCATAATAAAAAATACTTCCTCCGTCCACTTACATATAATGTTTACATATTTATATTTTGGGACGTCTAATTACAAAGTTAACATTTTATTAAATACCCTACTTTTTTCCACAAATACCCTTACTTTACATCACATCGTTACTTTTACACAAAGAAAAATAAGGACAAAAATGTCATTATACTACTTTTAACTACTCACTATAATTAAAATACTATTATTTCTTAAACATCGCGCTAAAAATAAATGTAAACCTCGTAAATGGAGTATTATTTTAGTAAATTTACAATTCACTTTAATATGAAAATTAAAGTTTTTCTAAAATAACAACAAAGATGTTTTTATTTAAAAGCACAAGGCCTATACTAACAATAGAAATATACTTTACGTGAATATAGTTTATGTTTTCTTCTTTCAATTATGGTGCTTATATTTACCGCTCTCATTTTTTGATTACGAATCTTTACAAAAATAATTAAATAGCTCGATTTTTCTACAATATATAGGTCTCACTTTATAAAATAAAAATATAATTGTACTTTTCAAAATTTAATTTATGTCATATTATTCAATTACAAAAATATTGAGTTAATAAATTAAAAGAGCACTAGCTCTCTCAAATAGAACACTGCTTCCTCTCTTATTTCAGAGCACTACCTCTATTGACAAGAGAGTAATGTTTTTTTAATCAAAGAGCACGAGCTCTGTTGACATAAAGTGCTGATTCTCTTAAATAGAATATTGTTCGTTTAAAAAATTAGAAAATATTATCTTTGTTAAAAAATTAGAAAGTATTGTCTTTGATAATCGAGAGTACTGCCTCCATTCACATAGAGCACCACTTTTGACAAAAAAACACTGCTTCCGTTAACAAAGAGCACTAACTCTATTGACATGAAACATTGCTTCTTTTATTAGATAAAAATAGTTTTTTTTTTACAAAAAAACACTGACACTTTCAAATAGAAAACTATTAAGTAAAACAAAATTAAAGATTAGTAATTGAGAGTATTGTCTCTGTTCACATAGAACATTGCCTCTATTGACATAAAATACTGCTTCTATTAATAGAAAGCAACGGCTTTGTTTGTAGAGTCGCACTACTTCTATTAGTAGAAAACAACGACTTTGTTCGTAGAGTCGCACTACTTCTATTAGTAGAAAGCAACTGATTTGTTCGTAGGGTCGCACTATTTATATTATCAGAGAGCAGTAGCTAATTTGATAAATTTTTATTATCTTTATTTTTTATTCACTTCTTTACCAATACAATTATTAAATTTATTAATTAATTAATTTTCCAACTTAATTAGTTTTAACTTGTCTTCCATTTGATGGGTTTCTTCATTTATTTATTTTTTATGTTTATTTATTTATCTATTTATTTATGTCGCCTGTTAAAGAGAAAGATAAAATATAAAATAAATCAATTATATTTTGTTAGATGAGAAAAAATTAAAAAGAATGTTACCAAAGAGGAAGATCGATTGCAGAGGAAGAATGACTGAGATAAATTGAAATTACTTATTTACCCTTCAATATAGCATTAACTATTTGATTAAAAAAAATCTTATATTTAAGTCAAGCGATGAAACATCCCTCCCTTAAGTGTGTGCATACGTTGAGTAAAATTTCTGCCGGGGTGTGAGCGTGTGCTTGTGATAGCATATTTTTTTTCCCAATACAATAGAACATTAAAATATTAAATCTAATACTTGGTTATATCACATTAATAATTTACATCAATTCAAAATTTTACTTTTCATTTTCTCTTTGATTATTATATTTTTCTTCAGAAATCAACATTCAATATCTGTTTGTCTTATTTTACCCAAAATATTATATATATCCAATAATTATTTTTATTTAAATATAATGAAACAAAGCAAAAACATAAAACAACCATAAATTTATAGTGTATACTCTCTCAATATTTGCTGATCTACCTTAAGTCATTTTCCATCCAAATCATTGCTTACAATTGGTTTGTTGACCAACTTATTTTAGAGTGGGAGGATTCTCCATAAATATTATAAAAATATAATATTTTTTCGGTCGTACTTATTATATCCGGATTACCGTAGAAATAAGAATTTATATAAGTATAATTAATAAATAATTAAAACTATATTAGTGAAAATAATTATCTTATAATATAAATAATTATAAATTAAAATTAAAATTAAAATAACTAATTAATCTAATTAAAATAAAAAATTATAAATTAAAAAATTTAAAATGAGATTAAAATGTGTAATTATTTATTATTTATTTTTAAAAAAAGAGTGCATGAAATATGAAACTGACAAAAATAATAAGGTGAACACATTATATGTGACGGAGAAAATATATATTTTAATACAATATATATAATATTGGAGTATAATTTATTTATAAAAAAAATTTATAATTCAATACAAAATATTATTTTTTATATTAACCACACAATTTATGTACATGATATAAAAAATATATTCATAAACAAATACAGAACACACCAAATATTATTATGTCCTTTAAGGGAATTACTTTGTGCTGACAATAATTTAAATATTACAAATAAAAAATAAATAAACAATACAAATGCAATAAATAGAAATAATTTATAAATTTGCATATTACTGTTAATCTGAACAGATAATATATATCAATACAATACACTCAATAAATATTAATTGATAATATATATTTTTCAATAATAAAATATGTATTGTATTATTTGAGAATATATAATTTTTATTTTTTACTCCCTCCATCCCAAATACTATGTTCAAATTGCCGTTTATGTCCGTCCCACTTACCATGTCATTTCCTTTTTTGGAAAACGATTATACACTTTAATCTCATTTAAAAATTTTAAATTTTATTTTTTTTTAAATTTTAATTAAACTAATTAGTTATCTTAATCTTAATTTATAATTATTTATATTATAAAATAATTATTTTCACTAATATATTCTTAATTATCTACTAATTACACCACTTTTAAAATAGAGTGTCTACAGTGTAGCAGACACGGTATCTGGGACGGAGGGAGTATTTTTTATTTTTATGTGTTGATATGCCACCGCCCGGGACTTCAACTAGTCTCCTTGCTTATATAATGGATATTTGGATGAACATACTTTATTCTTCCCTAAAAATGCACAATTTCTTTGAAATCAGTATTTATATTTTTGTAAAATAAAATACTATAAATTTTAGTTTTTCAATAATTTTTGTACCACATATATTTTTTAATTATATTTTAACTAAAAAAAGTAAATTTTTTTGTGCCTTAAAAAAATCACAAATGTATCTACTTTTAAAAAGAGTTCATTCAATATACTCCTTCCGTCCCATAATTAGGTATCCGTTTGCTTTTCGCACGTAATTTTAAAAATATTAGTATTATATTGAAATATATTAGGAATATAATATTAGATATAATATTTTGTATAAAATTTAAAAAAAAATTAATATAGTATTTTAGATAAAAAAAAAAAAAAATAGTTATGTGATACGAGGTTTTGTAATAAAATAATATTATTGTTAATAAATATTATCAAAAAGTCATTCAAAAATATATGTAAACCGAAAGTTCTAGTGCCATGATTTTGGTGCTTAATACATTGTATAACATTCAGAATATATAGATGGGGTCTGAGAAAAAATAAGTTATAGAGTGAGAGAAAAATAAAATTAAAACCAATATTAAATATTAAATAAGTCAAAAATACATGTGTTTGTTTGGGGGATTTAATAAGATTTCTACTATTCATCCAATTTTTTCCCCCCAAAAACATCAAATCAAACACCTATTTTTCATTTTTTTATATTATACTAAAAATCAATTTTACATTCAAAACATCACATCAATACCTATTTATATCACATCATACAACTATTCAAATTCAAAATTTTTACTATTCAAATCCCAACTCAAAATCCAAACCCCCAAACAAACACACCTGCTCAATCACAAAATTCTTATGAAAAGACCATACTTCCAACGAACTTCATAAGGTAAACTGTCATAATCTTAATAATATAATAATACTCCCTCTATCACGTAAATCTTTCCTTATTTAATCGGATACGAATTTTAATAAAAGTGAGTAATAATTATTATTTTTTTTATAGTAAAAAAAGTATAAAAATATAATAATTTTTTATTTAAAAAGAAAAAAAAAATATTTCTTTTTATGATCACCCAAAAAGAAAGTGAGTATAAATTTAAATGATAAAGAGAATAATAATAATAATAGTAATAAAGGGTTTATTTCCAAAATAATTACAAACAAACTTTGAAAGGAGTATAGGGGAGCAGTAAAATTTAATTGTCCGATACTAACGCCTTGTTTACATAACACATTTTCACTCATTTAACACTATTTATTTTTTTAAAAAAATCACATCAAATACATTTTTTCTTTTAAAAAACATCAAATCAAATACCGACCTTTTATTTTTTTTTCAAATTTTTAAAATTTCAAAAACCTCTGTCTAAACAAAAACCTAAATCATAAACCAGACAATAGTAAAATAATTACAGGCAAATTAAACATCATATAAAGAAGAAAATGCAGATGGTGGATTTCTTTCTTTCTTTCTTTCTTTGCATAAACACAATTAAATAGATCTACTACTACAAAAAAGTTAAGAAGAAAAATGATTTGATGATGATGAGATGAGATGAGATGAGAGGAAAATTAGATGAATTGATGGAAAAGAATTGATCGTAAGACTAACCGAATCAAATTAAGCAAACCCTACTGTGTGTTGGTCTGTCTGAACCCTTCATTTCTTTCTTCTTCTTGGATGGAATGGAAGGAGACTTATCTTAAAGAATAGGAATGGGAATCATCTCAGCCACACATCTTGCACTCTTCCATTTGATATAATATATATATATATATAGAGGAAAATTGCAAAAAATATCTTAAACATATACCTATTGTCACTTTTGTTCTGTATTTATCTCTCTGGTAATATATATCCACGTGTGATGTGAATGTCACGCGCGAGCAAATGACATAAATAACGACTTTTGTAAACATGTGAGATATATTTTGCCAACGAGATAATTAGAAGACAAAAGTGATAATACGATATAAGTGTGGAATATTTTTTGCAATTTTCTGAATATATATATATATATATCTATACATATATCACCTCTCTTTCACTTTCTTCTGTCCCCACATATTAATTGGTATTATGCCTTTCTTTAATTATGCATGTGATAGTTATGGTTGGTGGGTTTCGTATACCGTCTGGCGATTGATCGCGTCATAAACAAACAAGTGGTATGATGACTAAGAGAACTTTATAAATCAATTGTTTTTTTATCTACTTATTTGGAAATAAACACACACACACAGTGACGAACCAGTCCTAAAATTTAGAGGAGGGGGAAATTGTCAATTCACTTTTTTTTTTATATTTAATATTTTTTTTTCGATTTTTTCCAATGCAATCGAATAAACAACAAGAGTAGAAAAAATAGCTATAAATTAAATTTTTAGAGAAATATTCAAGAAAATTTAATAAAAATCAATAATTTCTACTAAAAAAAAGTAAAACCTAAAAATATAAATCAACAAAACTACAAAATTTTTATTATTTTTTAAACTATAAAGTAAAAAAATAAAAAATAGGGGGACAAAATAATAAAAAAATACATGATTTTATTATTTTTTACAGTAAAAATATCATATATTTTAGGGGTTGGAGGTCAGCTGGCCCCCTAGTCCCTATATAGTTCCGTTTCTACACGCTTACACACACATCAGCACCACGAGGATTTGAAAAATTTATAGTACATATATTTTGATAATTTGGAGATACAAAATTAATTATTAGATGTGTTTTTTTTTGTTTTTTAATAAAAAAATAATTGCTACGATTAGACGATCTATAAATCATATTAATCTATATTCTTGAATACTTGAAATTTTTTCAAACTAATGCCTTCATTATATTGTTGAACGAATTTGAGGGATGTCTTTGTTAGATCTTAATTATGGTGTTCTTTGAAAATTATTTTATATTAATTTGGTGATAAAGTTTGATAAGATATTCTGATTGACCGAATATTGAATAATAAATTAATTATATTTGTATTATATCTATTTAATATATATTTATATATTGTAATAGTTTTGTATATAAAAATAATCACGAGAAATAAAATTCATTTTGACATTACATATGTAAGTCACCTTTTGACCTTAGCAAATTAAATGAAGACACGTGGAGATAAATTTTATTAGCGAAGACAATAATATAAAAAATAGTTGAATTATTTTGAATTGTATTTGCATTAGTCATACACTTTTCGTAGTTACCTTTTTTAGGCTCCGTTGTAAATTGAACCATTATTTATGGGATTGTACTATTTATATTGGATTTGATGTTTTTGGCTACGTTGATGGTTCTAAACCCGCTCCTGAAAAATATTGAGACGCAAAGGCTACCACTCTTAATCCGACATATTCTCTTTGGTTCCGTCAAGATTGTATCATACTTAGTGCTTTGTTAGGAAGTTGCTTGGAAGTTTTACAACCAGTTATTTCTTCTTCCAAAACTGCTGCAGAAGCCTAGAAGTGATTGGCCGCGAACTGTGAAACTACATATCGTGGTTGTATGGTTTGGTTAAAAGGTAAGCTTGTCAAAAATCCAAAAGGAAGTCGTTCAATAAATAACTTCATGTGTGACATACAGTCGATTGCTGATGATTTGACACTTGCCTAAAGTTAGTTTCAGAGGAATATCCTATTGTTCACATCATTTCTCAATTTGGTCATGACTATAATCCTACCGTTGTTGCCCTTCGATGAAAAGACTCTTTAATCTCACATAGAAAATTGGCGGATGTATTTTGAAACTCCAAGGCAGACATAATGCTTGATTTTGTCAGAAATTAGCCCGTTCTTAAGGAGATAAAAATTCTCGTTGAATCCGCACATGTTGGTTCCTTCCAATCACTTGTAGTTAATAATACCTCTTCCTTATCTACTCAATCGCAACCATAGATTATGGATACTGACGCTTCCCACCTTACGGTGAGCAATCCATCCTCTATGGAGTCATTTTTTGATTACTGAAGTCCTGATGAGATTGTGCTTGGCGATGGTAACTCCCTTCCTATCAATCATATAGGTTCCATTTTTTTACCATCTATTATTGGATCCTTGGATTTTTCTGATGTTCTCTATGTTCCTAAACTTCACTCTAACTTTGTTTCGTTATCGAAACCTTGTCAAACGAATCCCATTTCAGTTCAATTTTTTGACTCTTTCTTTATTGTCAAGGATTGGCTAACATGAGCGCCACTAGTGTGAGGGGCCATTGAAAATAGAGTCTACATATTTCTCACCCGTCGTTTCCCCTAAGTTAACCAAATTAAAATTCCGATTCATTGCTTGTGTTTTTCTTAGGTATGCTCTTAATCAATTTGCTTTAAAGTGTCTTGTTTCTACCACTGGAAGGGTTTATTTGTCTCGACATGTTAAGTTCATCTTTAATGTCTTTCTATTTGCTTCTTTTTCTTATCCTGTATCTTATTCTGGTGCTCCAGCAATCACCCCGAGTCTTGTCATCCTGTCGCCCTCTCCTATTTCCTCTCCTACTATCGCCATTAATTCAGGCAATCTTCCCACTATCTCTGCTCCTTCCAATTCTTGGCATTCCTCTCCACCTTCGTTGCCATCCTCACCACCATATTCTTCTACTTCATCTACCTCATCGGATCTATCTTCTCCTACCTCTCATCCTTCTGAGCCTTCACCTTCTCAAACACAATCTTCACAGCAGCTTGAGCCAGTGTCCAAACGTGTTCGGCGCCCAAATAGTATATAATTTAATGATAAATTTGTTAATTTATAAACTATTCATCATGTTTCTTCTACTGATAAGCCACGTACTGTTAGTCAAGCTTTGCAAGATATTCGGTGGAAGCAAGCTGTGACTGAGAAGTTTCAGGCTTTGCTTCCAATGATAGATGAGAGCTTATGCCTTGTTCGTTTGAATGTATTCTTGTTGGTTGTACATGGGTTTTTATGTGTGAAGTGGAAATCTAATGGCACGGTTGATCATTTTAAAGCTCGGTTAGTTGCAAAAAGATTTTTGTAAGATCCAAGACGGGATTATTTTAAGACCTTCAGTCAAGTTGTTAAACCACTTACAATTCGACTTATTCTCTCTATTGATTTATCTCATGGCTGGCCCTTGCGACAACTGGACTCAATAACGTATTTTTGAATGGTGTTCTATTTGAAAGTGAACAACCATCCAGCTTTATCGATTCTGCTCATCCGTGCCATATTTGTTGCATAAAAAAATTATCTATGACTTAAAGCAGGCTCCGCACAGGTTAGGTATATTGAATTGTCTAATTTTATGCTTTCTTATAGGTTTTACATATATATGGCTGACCCTTCTTTTATCATCTGTCATAATTTTATCATTATTTATTTTCTTGTTTAAGAGGATCATATTGTCCTCACGTGCAATAATGTGTCTTTCTTGGATTCCTTTATTGCTCGCCTTGCTACTCAGTTCTCTCTTAAGAATTTGGGGATGCTCCATCGCTTCCTTGGTGTTTAAGTTATTCGAACATCCTCTAGGTTGTTTCTTTCACAACATTGTTATATTTTAGACATGCTTGATCAAGGTCACATGACAGGAGCAAAAGTTGTGGTCACTCCTATCTGTTCCAGTTCTATATTGTCATCAGGCAACTTTTTATCTGCCGATGCCACACTTTATTGGGCTGCTATTGGCCGTCTACAATATCTTAGTCTTATGCGCCCCGATATTTTCTTTGTAATGAATAAAATTTCTCAGTATATGCGTAGTCCGGCAATTGTTCATTGACAGACTGCCAAACAAGTTTTTCGATACCTGAAAGGTACCATGTTTCATAATTTGTCTTTTCGTGTTGAAGTTCCACTTTCTATCACTGCATTCTCGGATTCATATTGGGGGGCATACATGATAATGGTCGTTCTACCACTGCTTATGTGATTTATTTTGGGTGCAATATTATCTCCGAGAAGTCTTCTAAGCAAACTTCCTGTTTGCCTCTAGACCATCACTGTAACATTATTTAGATTATTTAGACCTTTCTTTTGTAGTAACTTGTTTAATGATGTTGTGTTAGTTATTAGCTATCTTAAACAATGATTTGCTGTTTTTTTTTTTTTTGCTTCTCTTGATGAACACTTCTATTTTGCATCTAATCAATGATTTTATTTTTATTTTTGCTAAGTCATTATGTAATGTCAACTACCTGTTCCATAAGTTATCCAAATATTTTATGGGAGTTCATTCTTGAGCCATGATCTTCGTCTTCTTCAATCTCTAGCGTTCAAGAAAAGAATAAAGAATATTGCTGAGATTGTTGAAGAAATCGAGTGGGAGAATATGGATCATAACCTGTTGACAAGGTATGCACATCTTATGTGATGCAATTTGGTTTTTCATTATTCCATCTTATTTTTATCTATTAATAAAAAATTTTAAATCGCATGGCAAGCTATCAACTTGTTCAACATTTTGATACGCAACAAGTCTCTTTAATTATACTCGTTTTCAAATAATTGAAACTACTATTTGCAGAACATTCATTAGTGACATTGTTATGGCTCTCTCTTCCTCAATTTCTATAAGGGATTGAAGTTCTGAAAGTGCTCACTTTGAAATTTTTAGTGCAGACTACAGGTACCTACCTATGTGAAATTTCAGAAAATTAAGTATTTTTATGATCCAACACAATTTTTGTGTTTGCATCTAGGTTTGAAAGAATTTATTGAATGTGTTTTTGTCAAGCCAAAAGTAACATAAGTATTCCTTACTTTTATATTATTGATGC